CCAGACACGAACAATGAATTATCTTAGTTTTATTTCTATGAATTGGAGATCTATTCTAAACCTTCCTTCCTACCTACCTATTAATAGATTGACACAATTTTATTTGTGATTTGGTGTGAGAATTTAAGAACCATGTGAAACCTAAATTTCATGCTTCAACTGCACTGTGAATTAAATATACAATAATGCATTAACTTATACAGAATGAACAAATATCCCATCAGCATCCAAAAGGTTTGAATAACCATGCCACTGCACTCCAGCCTGGGTGACAAAGACCTTGTCTCAAAAAAAAAAGGTTCCAATAGACATATCTAAACATTACTGAATTCTGTACCAAACACACACACACACACACACACACACACACACACACACGCACGCACGCATACACACAATACCACCTGAAAGACTTAATAAGACTGTTGACTTTCGTTCTTCTATTTTGCTTTTACAGCATGCCTTAAAAGCAATTACTATTCCATTACTGTTCACACAAGAGAAAATTTACCAGCTTGTAATTTAGAGGCAAGTGGAGTAGACAGAAGAAAATGGAGCCACCCGCTATAGTTTCTAAGAAGCAGACAACAGCTAAATGTTTAAAAGACACAACATTCATTACACTGAACAATAATCCAAACATGTTTTCATGTCTATTCATGAGAGAGAATAATCAGTGAAAACTAGGTTGAAGAAGAAAGAATGATGGAAAAAGACAAAAGGAAGAGGCAGAAGGAAGAATGTCTTTTAAACCCAAATTGTTACTTCTGGCTGATTAAAATATCAAAATCCAAGTGGTTTCCAAAGAAAATTCTGTCAAAAATGAACCATAAATCAAGTACTGTACACCCAGGGAGAGTAAGGATAATCTATAGATTTAACATTTATAGCCTAAGAAAATTGGCTGTAGTTTCATATACATATTTTTATGAAATTCTTGCATTTTATCATACCTATGGCATGACTATTAATATGATTTCAGATGGGGAGAAACAAAAGACAAGGGGCACATTTCAGGTAAAATCATCTTTTTATGAACCTTGTAGGTTTCTTCACTTTAAAAAGATAAATTACCTTACACAAAGTAAATGTATCAAGCATAAAAACGGGTAAATCTTGTATCTCTATTCAGGAAACATATACAGAATTACTATTTAGGGAGAAAAGTATCAAACATTGTGAACTTGAATATCCTTTGGATTATGGCTCCAACAAGCAGCATGTAAAGGGGAAGCACACAAATGCTTTAGAAAAAGGAACAAGACACAATTAACCCTCAACTCCTCCACCTGCCAAGTATACCAATAGCTTAACAGCACCCAACAAAACATCCAAACAAGGACTCTCTCTAGTTCATCGCTTTCCAGAAACATCTTCATGATGCAGCCTCATTCACTGACTCCTTTCATGAGCCCCTTAAGTGTCTCAGAGACAGTCTGTCTTCCAGCTTTACCTCATTAAATTTAACATTTCTGAAGGTTTTTTTTTTCTTGCTGGGAAAGTGCTATTTTTCAACCTTTCAATTCAATTGATTTCCAAAGGTGAAACCAACTTCACCTGAAAAGCATCTGCTTTAAAGTAAAGAAAGCTTTGAAGGTTTTCTAGCAAAGAACAGAAATGTGATCAATAGTGTCATTGGAAAATATGACTAGATATAAAGTCACATTTATCTGTAGTTGTGGCTTTTATTAAAGCAGCTTAAATCCTTTGCAAATAAGCTTTCCCAGAGAGTTAGATCGATAAGGTGCACATGCAGGCAGGATTACCTGTGATCCATAGTGAGAAATCCCATCAATGCCACAGGAAGAACAGGAGGAGTAGTTAAGGTACTTGCAACTTGAAAAAACCCTGCCACCTCCTTCTGCAATGGACAGCACCATTTTCTGTGGCTAAAACTCACACTGAGCTTCATTTGCAAATGGATTTGGCTGTTAAGGTAGGATTGTTCAATGCAAATATTTTTTTTCTGGGCAGCACAGCTCAGTTGAAAAGAGAGGCTGAAAATTAGTTAGCTGTATGGGAGGGAAAAAAAGCACCATTCCAGTTACTAGGGAGGAATAATTGAACACAGATTGCCTGTTGCGTCTTTAATTTAATTTTGAGACCTTTCATCCTTTACTTTCCTTCATTTGCAGCCAATACTTAGTGAGCTAATTTGTACCTGGTTCATTTTCCTCCTTTTATCTTATCTTCTTTAACATCAACCATGGAAATTAGAAGCATTATGAATAAAAGATGAAGGCTGACTTGGGACATTCTTTCCTTAAGTACTGTGAATTACTTAAAAACTAATTTGTGTGTGTGCACAATACAGAGGGCTGAGATATATGCCTCAGCCCGACAGCATCCCTGGGCAATATCTTCCCTTTTCCCCACAGAGCTACAGCTTTTAAATGTCTTGCCTGGTCCTTCCATGGAACAATGTCTAGACTATAAGCCACATGGATTTATTAATCCAAGGATGGGTATATGATAAACTATCTCGTTAATAAGCTAAGGGTTTATTTAAAAATTTCAAGTTCTGGAAAAATGTACAAGTCTAAGAATTTACAAATTCCACTAATCCAATGGGTTCATTGGTGCTTGCCATGCAAGGAAAAGAATTAGCTGTGATAAGGAAAACTGAATATATATATATGGCGAACAGAGGCCTCATCTATCCCAAAAATGCGGTGGTGGTGGCAGAGAAAGGTACTAGTCTTAAAATTACTGTTTGGGAGAAATGTTCAGGGACTAGAAGACCAATTCTAAGTATGCCATGCCTATTATGCTTAAAACAACAACAACAATCCCCCCCCACACACACACACATTTTGTTGTATATTTTATATATGTGACACCACTCCATAAAAAATAGTTACATATACTCTTATTTTAAGATAAACATAATTTGATTATTTTATTACTTCCAATTGTACAAAATTTTAGTGTCGTGAAAGTTGTTTATGTTTTCCTTTATAATTTCCTTTTGACAATACCATTTTCCCCCCTTACCTTCTTTATTTTCTTTCCCCCACCTCTCACCCATGCCCCATAATCCAATGAAAAAACTACTGGCTTTTTTCTCTTGTTGCCTAATATCCCCCACCAACAAGCCCTCCTTTCAGCTGGGAGGCATCAAAGGAAGGCTGTGTCCTGAATCGCTTCACTGCCTGTGTGTGCCAACTCTTCCAGCCATCTAACATCTCACACCAACAGGACAGAATCTGGGAATAAACCGAATCATTCTCCCTTCACTATCTAACCTCCTACAAGGTTCATTAACAGCAACGCCCATTATTTTACTTAAACAAGACCATGCCTTTTCACCGATAAGGCAACTTCTAAGTTGTAGAAGGGGGAAAAATACTTTGGGGTTTAAAATTATGGTGCATTAAAATGTAAAGTCTTTGCTTCAGAATGCAAGTCACTTCTTTTTGGGGAAAGAGTACCGTAGCAGGATCAAAATAAAAACCCAATTAAAAAAAATCAGATGGTATGTCTAATCTTGGTTATAGACCATATTATACAATGCCAAGCTCATGTATTTCTCTGGAGAAATATGGAAAGAAAGCCCTCTGCAGTGAAAGGAGGAGAAGAAATGGTGAAGAGCAATTACTACTCTTTTTATTCATGAAGGGGAGGATAAATGGAAATGAAGGTAGCAATTACCTTTAAGAAGTGGATTTTTAAAAGCCACACAGAAAAATTAAACTGGAAGAGTACAGAATAGCTTTGAGCTGAGGTGGAGATTAGGATTAAAGTGTGGAGGGCAGTTAGAGTACTTGATTACTTAGACACACAGATTATTTTACCAGTTCAGTGTCCAGCTCATGCATAGTGTTTTTTCAGATGTCCAGTTTACTTGAGAGAAGGGACATTGCATTTTTCTCTTCAGAGGCAGAATATCAAGACGTTTCAGGTGAAGGAAGGCAACAGTCTCGCAGGACATCAAAGAAATCAAGATTGCATTTAAGCTATAATTGTGAACAGGGAAGAAGAAACTACAAAACCACGCAAATCTGTCTCATTGGCAGACTGCACACACACACTGTAAAACACCAGCCTCAAGAAAGAACACCTGTTCTAACACTGCCTGTTGGCTGTGCGCGCGCGGGCGGGGGACTTTCCAAGGGACCCATGGGCCATCTCAGCAGCAGGTGGCCGGGCTGCACTCCAGACCTCAGACAGCAGCAAAACACAGTGGCCCCGGGCAAGTGCGGCCTGGCTAACTCTCCAAAAAGAGGCCTCAGAGAAAGTTTGGGAAAAGGGACTGGTCAGACCAGATGGTACCTCGGGCTGCAAAAAGACATAACCGCAGGGCAGAACAATCTCATTTGACAGAAAGGGTTTACCTGAGGGGTAGGGGGCGCGTGCGTGGGGAAGGTAACCTTCAGGGTTGGAAAGGACTATTGTGAGGTGCGGGGTAGAGAGGAAGGGAGGACCCCACATAGAAGTCAATGTTTTCACTAACAACCATTTTCGTGCCAGGGGACTGTACTAGAAGAAACTTGTCTCTAGGCTAACCATCTCCACCTTCCTCCCTGTTTGGGTCTAGACTCAGAATCACAGCTCTGTGCACTGTAAGGGCCTCAGAGGACACCAAGCCTATCCCCCTACCGTGCAGGGTCCCTCTCGGATCTCTCGCAGCCTGCCTCACAGACAGCGTCTCCAGGTCCGGGCTGCAGCCTCAGGCCAGCCAGAACCCGGTCCCTAGAAACCATGCCCGCGCCTAACACCTGTGCGATTCCTTTGGCCCAATCTGGAGACAGAGAGCCTTAAAGCAGACCCCTTGAACCACAGTGGCACTCTCACACACTCCCTCCACCCCCATGGCTAGAGGAGGCTGCGGACTGCCGGAGAGGAGCAGCTCCACTGGGTGTCCCGAATGCGCGCACCGAGAACTGAGAACTCAAAAGTGCAGGAGCAGCGCACGGGGGAGTGTTGCGGCTGCCCGGCCCGGCCCGGAGTCCCCTCCGGCCCTCTCCCCCTCTCCCCCAGTGGGGCTGGCCGGCCGCTACCTCCTGGAAGAGCTCCAGACTGTAGGTGTTGTCGTCGTCGGCGAAGAACAGCACGCCGGGCTGCGCGCGCTGGTGCTGGTGCCTCTGGCGCAGCCAGGCGAGGCCGGCGTTGCGCTGCTCGGTGGCGCGCGGCAGCCCGGGCCGCTTGTAGCGCCGCGGCGTGGGCACGTGCAGGTGCGTGCTGGGCAGCCCGGCCCGCGCCAGGAAGCGGCTCACCAGCTCGCTGCGCGCCGCCGCGTCCTCCACCAGGATCCAGTGCAGCTGCGCCACCTGGCGGAACGTGTTGGCCAGGCGGGTCAGCTCAGCTTTCTGCACCGGCCGGCTGTAGGTGGGCGTGATGGCATAGATGGTGGGCAGCTGCGGCTGCGGCTGCGGCTGCTGCCGGGACTCGTTGCGCTTTTCGGCCCCACGCACCGGGCCGCCCCTGCGGAGCGGGAGTCGTGGGCCCCCGCGGCCCACTGCATAGGGAGAGAAGTAGGGGCGCGGGGTGAGCGGGGCCGCGGGCCTGCGCGTGTCCACGTCGAGCATGATGATGACGATTAGGATCCAGGGCAGTAGGATGAAAAAGCGGCTGACCAGCACGGACTTCATGGTGCGCGCTTCGCGGCCTCTCAGATACCCCAGAGGGGGACGAGCCAGGGGACCCCAGCGCACAGCCTGGACGGCAGCGGTGCCGGCACTCAGGAAGCCGCAGCTGGTGCTCTGTCCATGGGGCCAGGGGTGCTGCGGGGACCACGAGCCGCCGGGCTCACCACGCGGGCGTCCGGGGCTCACCACCCGGGTGTGGGGGATCCACGCAGGTTCGGGGGAAGCTAGGGCTGCAGGGCGGGCAGGCAGGGGCTGCCCCCCACTCCGGGTGAGCTGGCGGGAAGCAGGACTCGTCCAGCCGCGCGCTGCTGGCCCAGGAGTTGTGCGGAGAGCAGGGAAGGCGGCGGTCCCCACCGCGCTCTTTCCGAAGAGTGGGAGCCGGGAACCGGCGCCCGGTGCGCCCCGCCGCTCCGGTCCCACGCTGCTGCGGGCAAAGGGGCTCCAGCCACGGGTCACAGGATGCTCTCTGGGACACCGTCGGGGGCGGGAGGCAGGCGCTAGGGCTTTCCTTCCTTACATTCCGGCCGGGGAGGCGAGGACGGGGAGGGCACGCCGGGGATGTTGAGCCCCCAGCTCGGTTCGCGCGCCGCCGCCGGGGAAGCCTGCGCTCCTGACCCTCGCTCTTGTCTTCTCAGAACCTCTCTCGGCTCCGGCAGCAAGATCCCAAAGCAAGGAAAGAAAGAAAAAGCGAGGGGGCGGGGGCGCTGCAGACTCGAGCGTCCTCCCAAGTCCTCCTGTGGGAAGACAACAGCGCTGCTACTGGCGGAGAGCCCCCCCCCTCCCCCCCGCGCTCCGCTGGGTCTGGCGCTAACCGCCCCGCGGCCCCGCGGGAGGATGAGCGGGAGGAGGGTCCCCGCGGCGCTGCACGGCCTCCGGGAGGGGATGGTGCTAGTGCGCTGATCTCCGTGCCTCTCCGAGATACCGCACAGTCTTTGGAGATGAGCCAGGAAAAGCCATTCACGTGCGGGAAACTCGCCGGGCTGCGCGCGTTGATGCGGGTGCCCAGGCTGGGGAGTGAGAGGAGGGAGAGAGCAAAGGGATCCCTTCGCTGGCTCCCAGCAGTGGGGTTGGTGTGTGTGGGGGGGTATGGAACAGCTGCACAAAAAGCGCTTTCACTGAATGGCAGACATCAATAGAAGCCCGCGGAGATGGAGGGGTGCGGCACATAGGTGTTTGGTGCGTGAGATATAGCCAGCCCATAAGAAAGAATCAATCCAAACCGTTGCTGGCTGCAGTTAGATCATTGGGGGCTGGCGGGAGGGATTCTTAAAACTCCAGCTGAGTATGTGTAACTTATTTTTCTTCAGTAATTTGTGGTCACAGTCCCTCACAGTTCGCCGCCACCGGAATTATTCCGTTTGACCCTCCCAACAATCCTTTCAAAGAGGCCTGGTAAGTAGAATCACCTTCATTTTCTGGATGAGGAAACAGAGGCTCAGGGTTTAAAGTGATTTCTCTGAGGTCAGTAGCAAGAGGCCAAGTGGAAATAGAATGTGGGACTTCTGCGTACAGCTGGTGGCTTCCTCACTGCATGGCCTGCAGAAGTTACACCCCATGCAGCCAGCTAGGTGTGGTTGGCCTTGTTAAGTGTAAACGTGGTGCTATCCAAATCAGAGCATATGACGACATATAGAATCATGACAGTTTCTGGAGGACACCAAGAAAAGAGTTGGCGCTTAGTTGGACTTAGTTTGGACACTTTTTCTATCCAGTCGACCTACTAGCTGAATGCCTGGCGGTCTGTATTGTATCTGGAAACATGAAGAGGAGCCATGCTTCCCAGTAACGTCCCAGGGAGGTGTTTGCAAAGTGGCAGGAGCTTCTCTGTGTTCCCTAGCCTATGATAAATGATTCCTGAACCCATTTGCCCTCCGTCGTCTGCCTTTCTAAGACTTGTTCACAAAGAAATCCCTCCGACTCTGGGTTCTGAGGGGGCAACCAAGAGCTCCGGGGCTGTGCCCCTCCAGTCTTCCCGAAGCTCCAGTTCTCCCAGGCCTACTCCCGAACCCCCTACCTGTTAATCAGGTGTTGGCTGTGAATTTCCCTAATTTCCCTCCTCAGATTCCAAAACCTGAGAGTGAAAGTCCAGACTAACACCCTGCTTCTTGACGCTTGCTAGAGCCAGCCTTCTGTCTCAACTTCCCTGTGTCACCTACAACTCCTACTATTTAAGCTCTGCAGATTAATGCATTCTAAACATAGGAAACAAGGAATCCATTAGCTCTCTCCCTGTATTCTCCAATAGCCTAATGTGCCTCCGAATATAACACAATTGTGGGAAAATGTGTCCTGGTCAGGCCTTGATGTGCCTGCCAGCATCATGTGGGGAGGAGGAAGAGGAAGGAAGTCAAGGTTTCCCTTAAAGAAAAGGCTTTTCTTACATATTAGAAAGCAGCACACACAATCCACTTGCCCAACCTCCCTCTCCAACCCAAGGTTACTGAAGTCTAGTTTGTCCAGTGGGATTTTTTAATTAGGTTAAAGAGAAATGCCTTGTGTTAGCTGGAGGAAAACAAGCAGTTACTGAATTGTACTAAAAACATTACTAAATTTGGTAGTGGGGAACTGTTGGTTAGTCCCACTGTACCATAAAACCTATTTCCTAATGTGTCTTCTTCTCCAGGAACCAGAGCTATTCAGAGATGGAACATTTTCAAAACCAATCAAATTTGTAGTTTAATTTGAGACTTTAGCTGATGCCCAGAATTCACTGGTGTCATACAACACAACTAGCACATTGAGGACTGTCACTTCATTTTTTCTATTATCCTAAGTCAGCATTTGCACCCTGGCTTACCTCATTCACTCATCTGTTGAGGGCATGATGTTTCTTGGAGTCATGCAGAGCTGGCTTTGATTCCCAGCTGAGCTACTTTTACAATGTGAGACAGTCAATGAACCTCCCAAAGCCCACGTTTCCTCTTCTGGAAAATGGAGTTAATAATACATACTTCATGGGAATCTTGCAAGGATTAAGTGGGATAAATTAGGTAACGTACGTTGCAGAAGAGCTGGCATTCCATGGGCAGTCAATAAATGGTGTTTAAATACAGATAACACTACCTTAAAAGACTGTCTTAACACTGGAGCTCTTGATGGGTTATCATTATCAAATGAACATAAAATGAAATCTATTCTAAACAGGATTGGCAATGCCTCTAAATAGTTCCTTCACCTGTAGGGAAGGGTACCCCTGTTAGTGTACTAGAGTCTTCCCAAGTCGGTGTAGGAAGGGGAAGAAAGAAGAAATCCATTTGCCCCAAATATGAAATACAGCTTGTCATGCAATAAGGATGACATGATTCCAAGTGACATTTATGTGAAATGGCTGAATATGCCGTATTGTTTTATTAATATATTCAGTGGCTTAAGAATGTGGCCCTAAATCCTTTATGATCACATCTAAGTAATGATTTAAAGATATAAAAATTATTAGGGATGCCCATTTGAAGCACAAAACCAAGGGAAAACACTTTTAAGTGCAAAATCTTATGCTTTTGTTAGAATGGAAACAACTCCTTTCATTGGGCACTTGAAGAAAATGTCATTTTTATGAAGTGTAATCACTGAGTAGCTATAATACTTTTCCATACAGCTTATGATATTCTTACATAAAATAATTTAAGCTTGATCTGTGGCTGACAATGAAGGTCGGTAGAAGTCACTAGAGTAATTTAAATAATTACCTAAATTCAGAGCTTCTGCACATCCTCCCAGTGTTTGTTTTCATTTAATCTCTCTAATTATTTGTGTAGCAAAGTGAATATTGCTTCGTCTGTACTAATGAAGCCTTAGATTGCTGGCATCAGCCATTGCATTTCAGCATTCAGTTGTTGTTCTCAAATAAACAAACAAAGGTAAAAAAAAAAAAACCCATCTGGGGAGTTAACAAAAAACATACCGTATAATCACTAAACATTTACATTTTGCCTTGATGAGTAATATGTGACTGTAACTTTAACAGCAAAAAGATTGCAACATGATTAGTGCACTGTACAGAACTGATCCCATTTGACATTTGAGCCTGGGGTTCTACTAGTGTGACTAAATCATCCTTCAGGAGAGCATCTGGGGACATCTTTGATAGTCTTAGTCAAGTAGGAAAGAGATCAAAAGAAATCTCTACATAAAATTAAGTGTTTGTACATATCTATATAATAATGATTATGCAAATCAGGATTTGAAGAGAATCAGAACTAATTCATGTGGATGTAATGTGAAAGTATTGATAATCAATACCCACATGCATGTGAACATAAATACCTTCTGTTAAAATAGCATACACAATTATGTGAAAGAATGATGTCAAAATAAATAATTCTAATAGTCCCCAATTCAAGGAATACATGACAGTTTCATTGATAACTGTCAGAAAAATGACATCCAAACCACAAATTAAATGGCTCATTTGGTTTGTTTTATTTTCATGTATCTGGATCCTCTACAGATATCACTTTGGGCTAAAAATTATTCAAATTATAATGTTTCCTTAAAATTTGAGGCATTTGTAGTCATTATATATTACGTGACAGTTTGTTTAGGAAAATCTCATTTTTATAGGATGGATTGGGAAAAAGGTTATTCAGTAAAAGTTATTTTCTAGAAAAGTGTAAATTGGCAATTTACTCTAACAAGTAACAGGCCAGTGAAGGATTAGGGGGATACAAAAATGCAATAAAATATGCATAAATGTATACTGGCATCCTTTCTTTTTTTCCCTCATTGTCTTAAAAATTGGCATTTATGTTAAACTACTGATTTGTTAGAAATAAATTTTACTGTACAACTACATAACCTACCTTGCACAGTTGTTATGGAAATCAAAGTAGATAATGTAGATGAAAGTATTTTAAACACTGTAGTTTGTACATGTAAAATAGAGGAGGGGGATGAAAAAAGATTAGCCATGAGTTGATGATTGTTAAAACCGGGAAATGAAAACATGGGGGTTCCTTATCTTTTGGGGCCTATTTTTTTTACATGTTTCAACATTTCCATAATAAAAAGTTAAAATACATAAAATAGGTTATTATGTACTATAATTTGTTTACCAAGATAATACTGCTGTCCTACTGCCCTTGTTTGAAAAACTAGAAGTGCCTGAGTTGTACAAAATATTATGGTAGTGTTATAGGTTGGATCGTGTCCTCCCCACCCCCACCCCCCAAATTCATATGTTGAAGTCCTAACCCCCAGTATCTCAGAATGTGACCTTATTTGGATATAGGGTCATTGTAGGTATAATTAGTTAAGATCATACTGGAGTAGGGTAGATCCCTAATCCAATATTACTGGAGTCCGTATTAAAAAAGGACATTTGGGGGCACAGGGGCACACAGAGAGGATGCCATGTGAAGACTGGAGCTGTACCGCCACAAGTCAAAGAATGCCAAAGGTTGCCAGCAAACTACCAGCAGCTAGGAGAGCTGCATGGAACTGATGTTTCCCTAGTACATTTGGTGTGAGCATGGCCCCACTTGATCATGGACTTCCAGCCTCCAAAACTGTGAGACAATAAATTTCTGTTGTTTAAGCCACCCAATTTGTGGTACTTTGTTATAGCAACCCTAGCAAACTAATATAGACAGGAAGTGATGGTGGTAGTGCAATTACAATCTAACAGGCACTTGTGCATAATGATAGGAGCAAAGCAACAGGTGTAAGAATAAAGAAATAGGTGAAGAGCACTGGGTACAGACCTCATCAGCTTCCTCAAGTCTCCC